GAGAAGAGCCTGAAATGATTCCACTTTCGAAATTAAGAAACGATGAAGAGAAGAGGCTCGTCGAAGAGCCTGGAGTAATCGTTGACCGCAAGAGGAAGAAATTACGACATAAGATGATTGACTTAGTGCTTGTGCGATGGACACATTCGGCGGGGCCAAACCTTACCTGGGAGACAGAGAGTGACATGAAGAGTCGCTATCCTCATCTGTTTGTTGATGCATGATTCTGGGATGAAATCATTCTCATGGGGAGATAATTGTAATGTTCTCGTTTATTGTTAGACATAGTTAAGAATCTATATGTATGTCGTTCGACGATTGAAATCGACTATGAATAAATAAAAGTAAATTATTCATATATATATATATATATATATATATATATATATATATATATATATATATATATGCTTAAGTGAATTTTATAGATATTAGGTGTATATGCTATCTGTGTGAAATCTTACGTCCAAACATAATAAATAGGGCTAAAATATAAATTAAAAGTAAAAGATTAGTTTGGATAAATAACTAAACGAAAGTTTTAGTAATCGGAAAAGCGAACTCATCCATATAAACAACGCCTAAATCTGACTTCGTGAGAGGAAGTTATAATTTTTCGAAGTTTAAGCGTAATAGTATACGACTCAGAAATTGAAATTGAAATCAATCGATTGTTAGGGAAAAACAATCTAAAAAAGAGTTGAAGATCTCGTCAATACCTATCCAGCGATATAAAAATAGTCGAAAACGGATATCGTATGAGAAAGTTATGATTTTTATATGGACTTTAACAGTCTAAGCCTGTGAAAAAATTTAGCTTTAAAATAAATTGAGAATTAGCCGACGGAGTCTAAACGAAAGCTATAGTACTTGATAATAGCTACGCGTGGATATAAAGAACGTCGAAAACGGAGCTCGTATGAATTAGATATGAATTTTTAAAGAACTTAAAGTTACCGCACGCGCCGACAAGAGGCGCGACACGTCTCTAACACACCATCACAAACTCGTCACGTGTCACCAATCAAACAACGCGAAATTCAACTCATTCTTCACCCCATTCCTTCATATTCTCTCTAGAATTATTCGTACCTCTCGTCCCCTTTGCTCCCAAATTCCTGACTACTTTAGCGAGGCCCGGACGTAAGATAGCCGGATAAAAAGAAGTTCCCGGGTCAGAGTTATGTCCGCGTAATTACCGGTTCTTGCTAGAAAACTCTGTAAGTTAGGCTACACTTATTTTAATTCAAGTGTAACTTATATTTATAATCGTAATCATTATTATGAACCTATAAATAAGATTTATCAGTGATTCCAAGTCAATATACCGATTGATCTACTTACAGGAGTGATGTCTATGCTGAATTTAATGCATGTGTTTAGTTCAAATTTATGCAAATACAAACACCCCCCCCCCCCCCTTTGTGACTTTAATACCTTAGGGAAACATGCATAAGCATTTGTCATGTGTCTCCGTGGATCGACCCTGCTTACCTTGTATTACCTTTTAGTGCAAAGTAATAATGTGTTTGGACTTCATTTTGTACCCTATTATTTGTTGGGTTTGACACCTTAACACGAACAAATTAAACCAAACGAAATGCATAAATGAATCTGAAAAACATACCAGACAATCATAAAAAATGGACCGAATACAACTCTTATACCATGTGAACTAATAAGAATCTACATAGAACTAATAATAATATAAACGACTAAGGTTGTATTGTTGACGAAAAACTGTTTATACAAAGAAAGATAAATAAGAGTATAAATAGAAAAATTATCTAAAGTTAACCTGGTTAAAGGGTTAAACATAAAATCCAATACAAAAAAAAAACCCCAAATAATTTATTATGCTAATACGGAAAATGAATTAATAGGGTAACAAAGTTTTCACTATGTACACGTTTAGTCCTTATTGTTTTTTTGTGTGTAAAATACGCCATTTAACTTGTTGTTTTGTACGCATTCAGTCATTATGATCCGCTATTCCATGTTAAGTTATCCGTTTGTACATATTTAGTTATTAATGTTTTTTTTGTTGCAAAATAAGTCCTTGTTTTTGTACACATTCAGTCCTTATGACCGGTTTTCTTAGGTTTTGCTAAAATGACATCCTACGTGGAACAATCATTAATAAAGTGTTTTCATACGTGGCTTGTCCCTCACTTATATCAGTAACCTAATTCACACATCGGTCAAATAATGTTGGTGCCCTAGTTTTCTCCAAGAATAATATTTCTTCGACTTAAGTTTCATATATCTCCGTAGCAGACAAATATATTCTTTTTTGATTGATTTATCCCAACTCGAATTTGCACTTCCAAAACAAAATAACACAACGGAAAAAGTTCTTCCCTAATTCCTTGGTTTGTCGATCTTGACCATTTTTCAGCAAATATGATTTTTGTTTATTTCAAATTGACCCCAAAATTTGAAAATGAGCTTGCGGATGTTAAAGATGAGGTTTCCAATCTCAACCACCTTGAATCACAAAATACTAAAACCCTAGAACGTTTAGGGTTTTGTCGCGAGGATTAAGGAGACGCGTCATGAACTTCTATTAATTTATTAATCACTAATAAATTAACAAATTGGAACCCTAATAAACTCTCATGTCAATAATTGCTTAAATTTGTCATTTCGTGTAATCCAAAGTGACTTCGATATTAATAGTAATATTAACAATTGTTATGAACGTGGACATTATTTCCAACAATTGAAATCATTATGGATAATGTATTTTTTCTTCACCCGATGTAATGTAATCGGTATTGATATTAAATGAAGTTTGCATTGGCATTAAATGTAGTTGATATTGTACTATAATAGTTACTAATATCAAAAGTACAATGCTATTATCAAAACAAAAACAAGAAACACATGATTTCACTTCTCATACGAGCCATATATGAGAACAGTTCATTAATAATTGTCCTACATCAGATGTCATGTGAGCAAAATCTGAAGAAACTTATCATAATGACTAAATGTATATAAAAACAATGACTTATTTTATAAAGAAGAGATTAAAGACTAAATATGTACAAATTAAGAACTTAACCTGGAGTAGTCCGTCATAAGACCCGAATGTTTAAAAAACAATAAGTTCAAAAGCTTATAAAAAAATAATATTAGTTCGTGTACATAACAAAAAAATATATTATTCTATGTTATAAGAAGTATGCCAACGCTCTATTCAAATGTATTTTAATTCCTACACCAACAGTGATATATATTCAAATGTATTCTAATTTATTACAACAAAAAAGAAATAATAAAATTAAAGAAAAAAAACCTTTATTTCATATTTTTGTGAGTAGAAAGTTGAACATGAATCGTAAAATTACACATCAGCAGGGTGAATTTCAAAAAAGTCGTAGACATAGAGCCCTGAGGAGACTTTATTGGACCCCACATCTTGTCGGCTTGTCGTTTGGATTCCTTGTCCGTGTCCTCTCCTCAATTTCTCTTCTCTCGGCGATATTTCCTTTTACCAAACTTTATTGCTTCTATTTCTGTTTTCTGCCCTCAACCCTTTACTTTAAAGAAATGTCACAATCACCCCTAAATATTGTTTTGCGCAATACCCCCTCAATTTTTGTTGAAGCAACCCTTTATTTCTTTCTTTACGGAGCTTTATTGTGTCAATGCTAATGAATGGTCAAGAAAAATGGAATAGCTTTGCTTGAAGAAATAAAAAGGATATGTATCACATACTAAAATTGGATAAAATATTCAAACAAATATTTAGTTGAAATGTTTTATTCAACTTCAAACAGCATTCAGATTTTCAAACTATATATCTAATTATAAAATATTCAAGTTTTGTGGCTAACTTTTTTTGGCGTACTAGTCAAATAAAAGAATATAAAGAATTTCAAAACCTTTTGATGTTGTGTATTTTATTTTCAAGAATGACTAAACTGTTTCAAGATACTTTTAAACAAGATTTAGAGATTGAATCAAGACTTCGACAGTTCGACTCACGTTTTGGAATCAATATTCCTTCTAGATCACTTTGACATCATTTTTTCACAGAAATATCTTGAATTTACAAATAAGGCGTATTGTTTCTTTTTTGGCTTAATATATATATATATATATATATATATATATATATATATATATATATATATATATATATATATATATATAAAGACACGACATAATCTGTTAAGCTATATATAAATGCTTTTTATTAATATAAATAAATGTAAAAAAAACGTTTTCAACTAATATAAATAAAACTAAAAAAATTAAGGGAAATGACATTTCTCTTATTAATTAATTATTTAATTAATTTTTTTTAATCATCATCATCTAAACTTTCCTTCCAGTGATTCAAAGATGTCTCAGTTTGTCAAATGGAGTATCTTTTTTGAACAGCATTTTAGTAAGGAAAGGAATAGGGTCTGAAACAAATTTATAAAACGAGTCATTTAATCAAAGAAAAGGAGTTATTCCAAAAGTTGTTTTAACTTGGAATTTACCCAAAAAAAGTGTTTTTTAGATTCTTGTTTTTCTTTCTTTCTTTGTTGGTGCATAGGATTCTATGCTTTTAATGAAGATAATCCTATTAAATATATGAAGGAAAACCCAAACCGAAAAAGAAAAAACAGAAGAAGGGCTTTTGCTTTTAAGAAAGCAACTTTCACAGAATGAAATACAAGTAGCAAAGTCAGCTGTATTGTGTTGTACTCAAATCATATTTTTTTGTGCAGAAATAGTTGTTCTTTTGATGAGAGAAAGCCTGCAACATTTCAGAAATAATTATGGGTCGTCGAGAAGGTTTTTTGTATATTGGTGGGGGCAGAGTGTTTAATTACAAATGGAAACAGAGATGACTGTGTTTGTTTTCGTAATTGTGTGGGGACAAAGTTAGGAGAAATCGATGATGAATTGTGAGACGCACAAAGCCGACATGTGGGTCCCACTCTCCACCATCACCATCCTCCTCCTCCTCCCCCCTCCACCTCCATTGTCTTCTTTTGTATCACCAAACTCACCTCCCCTGTCTTTATTCTCCTTCTCCCAACAAAGTTTAAATCTTTCCTTGTGATTTCAAATATCTCTTGTAAAATGGATGTTACCCTTGGCTTGTTAGGTAATTCTCCGGCCGTTGATGATGGTGGTGGAGGTGGAGTGCCGTCTGGTGGATCAACCACCGCTAGGTCTATCTTGACAGTATCGAAGGAAGATAACAAGAACAACATGGTAACCATGTCTGTTGAGGTTACTTCATCGTACCCTGTTGTTGATGAGAATTTAGATGATCTTGAATTGGGACTCGGGTTGAGTATCGGAATCGGTGGTGGTTTGAAGTCAAAAGCGGTGGTAGCAGGGCCTTGTTGGAATCAATATGCAAGAATCTTGACAGCGAAAGATTTCCCTTCTTTGGTTTCGAAACCTAACTCTTCTTCTTCGTCTTCTTCAGTAAATATCCCAAATTCATCCACTTCTGGTTCCAAAAGAACCGCGGCAGATTCTGTTTCTCCTCCTAATGGTACCAGGTATACAGTTCTTCTACTATATTTCTCTTTCTTCTGATAGAAATTAGGGTTCTTATCTTCAATTCGAACGATATACGAAAAACCATGTACCTTAGGTGTTCTTGTTCTTTGTTTTGGTCAAATTGATCACAAGTTTTGGATTTATTTTATTTTTGGTTTACTGATTTCTGTTTTTAAATTTCCGTAACTGAAGCGTCGTTGGGTGGCCGCCGGTAAGCAGAGCTCACCGGATCCCTAGTTTGGCGAACAACTCCAAATCACAAACCGAAGAACTTAACTCAATACCCGAACAAAACAAAAACAAGAACACAACGAACAGAATCAAGGATTATTCAACTGAAAGAAACGGGATTTCCTACAAGAAATATCGTTCTGTAAAGGTGAACATGGATGGAACCCTGATCGGAAGAAAAGTCGATCTCAATGCTCACACCTCATACGAGGCCTTGGCTCAGACGTTAGAAGAAATGTTCTGGGGAAGACGTAAGTTGGTATTTTTATTTTTGATCTTGATTAAGTTCCTGAACTGCATAATTTGGTGTTTATATTTTTCAATTACTGATGTAGTAATCATCTTGTTTAGGGTCGAGCACAGAAGCAGGAGGATCTTCAAGATTATTGGACGGAACATCTGAATTTGTTCTAACTTATGAAGACAAAGATGGAGACTGTATGCTTGTCGGAGATGTTCCTTGGCAGTAGGGTTTCTCAACATCCATTTCTTAAAAATCTGATTGGATAAATATACCATATCCGATGTGATGTGACATCGGGATACTGGTACACCAATCAGATATCGCGTTGCATTTGCAACGCGATATGTTAGAACGATCTAACATGTTTATCTGATTTCAGGATGTTTTTAAGTTCCGTCAAGAGGCTTAGGATCATGAAAAATTCCGAGTCTAGTGAGCTTTCAAGAAATCAACACGAGGCACATAACTGATGCAGTATAATGATATGCATATAAACTTTTATATTTTTGGTTAGATGTAGTCGAACCAAGTTCTTGTTGGTTGAAGGGTGAAAGGAGAGTGATGGTTTGGTTCTACGGGTTGTTTAAATCCAAAGTGTCTCGGGTGAGACCGGTTTTGTTTGGGAGGTTTGTATAAGTGTCTTGTTCTTGGTGCAAGCATATTTTAACTAAGCATACACAATGCACACATCACTGATAATTTGAGTTCTATGATATTGTAATTATGGAATTTACTATATATGAAATTAGGGTTTTGGAGATTTTGTGTAATCTTGGTTGGATTTTTCTTCCATGGTCAGCTCTCAAAGTTCAAGATTTGTATGGTTTCTTGTTTATAAATTTTCCATAATCCTCTACAAAAGACCTATGGGGCAACTCCTTATGTGGGTCAAAATCACGATGGGTCTTGTTGGGTTGAACTTGTAAAAACCTACTTAACATCGATAAAGAAGTTTGAATATATCATGATCACTTGTTACATGACACAAGAAAATATGTTGTTCCATATTCCATGTTTGGGTGTGTGGAATAAAATTACAATTTGTTAAAAATAAGGCAATTTTTTGTTCGATCATAAAAGGTGGAATAAAGTGGGACTGAGACTCACTTTTAATCTATCGTTTGTGTAAAAAGATATGAATGTGGGCTTCATCCTCGTTATCAAATAATTGGCCTAGAAAGTTTGTCTTGTCATTTTTCATGTAACAAACATATTTCATAAGTCTTCTAGTTTTTAATGTTGATTAAGATGTTATGTCTAGTTGATAACTTTGAATTGCTTCCGTTTTAAAAATGGTATCATAGAAATAGCCATTTTTTGTTATGAGGTGAGGATTCAAGCATCTCTTGAACTATTGATTTTGAGTGCGTAGCCCTAACGAAACGTCGAGTGTTTTAAGTGGGGGCGGTGTAGAAATTACAAACGAACGAAAATCACTTGGAAATAAAAGCTACATGTTTAAGAACCCCCAAGTAGAATCTCTGTTCTTCAAAGAAATAATCTCTAAATCTTTTATAAAAGTTATCAAAACTAAACTCAATTCAAACTGAATAATGAATTCAAACGCGGAACTAAGTCACTAGGCTCCGTTTGTTTACCTCTTAATTGTAAAATTAAGAGGCAATGTCTGAAAAATTCAGATTCAGATTGTTTGTTTGGGTCTTATTTTTTACCTCTTAAAATAAAAAACACCTCTTAATTTTTCAGATCCTGAACAAAGTCTGAAAATAAAAAAAAGGAACGCGCATCTTGTTTTGCCCCTAAACCACACGGTCGGACATAACCGCCTCCTATTCTTCTGTTCTTGCGTCTCCCTCCTTCGTTTTCTTCCCCAGTCGCGTCTGCTTCCTTCACCTAGTTCCCGTCGCCGACGACCGCCTGAAACGACGCCGCCCAGCCGATCGTCGACGTCCCAGCAGCCTTGCAACCCCGTTTGTTTCGTCTCAGCATCGATTTCTGATTTTCGAGCTGCGTTTTCTTCCCCGGTTCGAGTCTGCTTCCTTCGCATAGTTCCCGTCACCGAAGACCGCCTGAAACGACGCCGTCCAGCCGATCGCCGACGTCCCAGCAGCCTTGCAACCCCGTTTGTTTCGTCTCAGCAGCTTTCCCAGCATTTTCTGTGCCCTAAAGTCCAAAATCAGAAATCGATAACAGGTTTGTTCTCTTCTTCTGAAAATTGATTGCTCTTCTTTTGTTATGCTCCAAATCAGTTCTTATGTTATGGTAATCAGTTCTTATGTTATGCTATTCAGTTTCTGATTTCTTCAATTGTAATCTATATTTGATGTTAATGGTCAATTTTTTTTTGTGTGTGTTTTTTTGGGTGATTTGGTTTTGTCGTTAGGCTGTGGTGATGGTGGTAAAATGTAGGAATGGTGTTTGTGTGGGTGGTGTTCGGTGGTTCAGGAAAGAGTGAAGGGGGGTAATGTTGGATTTGGATTAATGGATATGGTGGCTGGATAATGGTTGATGGTGGGTTGTATACAATATTTGCATACAGGTTGACTTGTGGTTTTGAAAGGATTATAAAAGCAGTTGAAGAAACAAGTATTGAACTATTGACATTTGGCTAGGAAAGAAGGATGCAGTGTAGTGTGGGGGATATTGTGTAATTGTAGGTAGATGATTTATATAGATTCATTATATTTGTTGAATGAAAGTTGAGTTTTGAAAGGATGTATTCATGTATCAACTTCTGTTGTGAAATGTGTTTAGATGTTTTTTGTTTGGTTTGTTGCACAATTCTGGAAAATTTATGCTACTTTTTGTGTGGTTTAATTTTGATTTATGCTAAATTTGGATTTTATATGGTGTTTATATTTTTTTAATACGTATTTAAGAAATTTATTAGGTTATTTTCTAAACAAACAGTTGAATTTAATAAAAAATAAAACCAAAGGGTAAAATGGTCATTTGAATAATTCAGCACAACAATTCAGAGGTCCCAACCAAACAGCATGTTAAACATTCAACTCTTAAAATTTCAGACCCTCTTAGAAATTCAAATCTCTTAAAAATCCAGATCTTAAAAATTCAGATCCTACCAAACAGCCCCTAACTCCTATTTATAATACTAAGCTCTAAAAGACTCTTAAGCTTATAAGAAAACAATAATTATAAAATGCAAGCAAATAAAATAAATGGATATAGACGAAACTAATCTTTATAAATGTAATTAACAAAAATGGCCAAATTTATCTTACTTTCTAAAAAGGGCCACTTTGCTCGGCGGGGGCGGTCCTGAGGATTCAAATGCCCAGGACGAGTAAGAAAAAAAAAGGCCATTCGGCCTTAACGTGTAAAGAATCAAAGTATTTTAATGAGTAATTAAAATTACATAAACTATTTTTTTAAAACTACGATAAATTACATAAACTATTTTTTTTAAACTACGATAAATTTTATAGCAATAAACATATCAAAATCAAAGTATTTTAATGAGTAATTACATATCGTAACACCTAACCGACGACCCGTGAAACTCTCCTAGCATTCTTGATAGCAAATTGGTTGATCAAATCTCCGTTGTCTATACTATATAAAATTTCGTTCTCGATAGATATCATCGCCAAACCGCTAAGTCTTTCTTGGGTCATTGTGGAGCGTAAGTAAGATTTCAAAAACTTCAATTTCGAGAAACACCTTTCTGCAGATGCTACCGTTACTGGAATGGTCAACAATATTCTATATGCAATGCAAGCATTTGGGAAATAATCAAGTTCTTTCAAAAACTTCAAAAAATCTATTGGGTTGCTAAATTCATTGGTTTCCAATGTCTCAAATAATTTCAACTCCGTATAAAGTTCTTCGGCATCAATATCCGATCTTTTTTCAAACTTGAGTGTTTTTTCAAGACGATGACAAGACGACTTAAGATCTTTATCTTCAATTACCCTCAAATTATGTGGAAATAAAAAACCAAATAATTTGTCATACTCTTTGAATTGTTCAAATCTTGTCTCAAGAGAAGAAATAGCTTGATCAACAATGTATAAGAAATAATTGACTCTGAAATTCTCTTTAGCTGTAAATGAAACTTTTTCGCTACTTCAAACCATTTTTTCCTTGGAATCAAACGCTTTTGTGGAAATATTGGATCGATACCCATTTCAATAGCAATCTTCTTAGCTTCATCAATCGCTTTTGAAAAACCAGTTTCTCTATAATCCTTGAAGTACCCAATTAATCTGTTTATTTCTGTAATAGCATTATCAAGATGCATGCTTGTAACTTTTTACTCACAATATTCACCTGGTTTAATACTTGATACCAAATAACAGTTGATAAAAAAAATTCAAAGTCACCAAATTCTTTTTCTGAAAGTGAAGTTGCTTCACTTGCAATTGCAACATCATTATCTTTTTCTCCAACTTGAAGTAAAGCTTCCCGTACATCAACAAGCTTCAATTTAATAGCTTTTACACTCTCAACCCGACTTTCCCAACGAGTTTGACACAATGACTTAAGACTCCAAGCTTGAACATTATCTTTCAAAATTTCCCACCTCTTAGTAGAATTTGCAAAGATAGTGTAAATGCGTTGAATGAGTCCAGAAAAGTTCTTTCCTTTAACACACTTGTTAGCCATATCACATAATGTTAGATTAAGAGAATAGAAACCACAAGGAATGTAAAATGCTCTAGGATTTAGATCTAAAAATCTCTTTTGCACTCCTTGGTGTTTTCCTTTCATGTTTGCTCCATTATCATAGCCTTGACCACGCATATCATCAATTTCAAGACCAAGAGAGTTTAACTCCTCAAGTGTAATATCAAATAGTCCTTTTCCGGTGGTATCATCAACATTCAAAAAACCTAAGAATGACTCCTCGACGGTAACAGAATTATATGACAACTTTAAATACTTCACTATTATAGTCATTTGTTCTTGGTGACTTGAATCAGGAGTACAATCAAGTATGATTGAGTAGTACTTTGCTTCCTTTATCTTCTTGATAAGTTCTTTTTTAATTTCTTGAGCTATCAAGAGTATTAGTTCGTTTTGGATCGTGTGCCCAAGATAATGCACATGAAGCCCGTCACTTGTGATTCGCCGTACATGCTCTTTGATAACCGGGTCAAACTCTTCCAACATTTCAATGACACCCAAAAAATTTCCATTACCTGTTCAATACAATTAACAAATAAGAAGTGGAATCAGTCATAATAATTAACAAAAATGTATTTGGTGGAACTGGAACAAAAAAAATACAAGTTATAGTTACCTTTTTTATACAACTTTTCATTTGTTCCATGAAATGCTAAATTATGTTTAGCAAGAAACTTCACTACTGCAATGATTCTTAAAAGGACTTCTTTCCAATAATCTCCTTCTTTCTTGAATTGCTCGTATTGAATTTTATCAATCGTTTCATTTAAGTTCAATATTTTACGCATATCAAACCACTTCTTTCTATTTGTGAGATGATCCAAGGAAATTTTGTGTTCTTTAACTCTAGTGGTAACATGGTGCCAATCTGAATAACCTTCATCACTCAATTTACCTTTCGAAATCCCTTTTCTAAACACTTTACAGCAGAAACAAAATACCCTGTTGAACTCTTTTGAATATACTAGCCATTCTCTATCACACTTCTCCAAATTTGATAAAGTTCTTGTGTATAAAGCTGCATAAAACCGTCTACCAAATTTATCGTAGGGACCATACATAATACTAGTATCTCTTTTAGGACCTCTCTCGACCAAAAGTTTAATCTCATCGTAGTTAAGTTTTTCCTACCTTCTTGGATCACATATATCAAGAATCTCTTCAACATGCTCTTGAACGTGCTCTTCAACTTCTATTTCTACATGTCCTTTCTCTTCAACATGCTCTTCAACGTGCTCTTCAACATGCTCTTCAATTTGCCATTCATCAGGTTTTCTATGAACAAACTGTTGGATTAGATGTCTAAGCCCATAACTATTTTTGGTATGTACTTGATTTGATTATGAGCATGGTCCTTTTGGGTTGCCTTCATTCATGCAACTTGATAAGATGACAAGAGGAGAGAGAGTAGGATTTATTATATGAATAATAATTTGGTACTCAAAATGGTTTTATTAATATATTACAAGATTAATATATTATTTGGAAATCATATATATATTAATTAGTGATTAATCAGAAATTAATTTGATATTAAATTTAGGATTAAAGGAACTGATTAATAATTGGGGGACTGTTATGCAAATCATTGATAGTTGCATAATTGGGTTGATGGACTCCATAGAGTGGAGTTGACGAAATCCTATAGAGAAGCCCTATAGATTTCGTCCATGGGCTCTAAGGAAGGAGTTCATGGGCTGCTTGTTGCTTAAGTAAGGTATTAGGGTTTCCACCAGAAAACCCTAGCAGCCACAACTATATATAGAACCCCATATCAAGGGATTTTTGGGTTGCATGTTCAATAGAGAAAAACTTAGATCCAAAGCTTTGGTGTTCATAGTTGTATGTTCAATAGAGAAAAACTTAGATCCAAAGCAATTAGGGTTGCATGTACACCATAGGAATGATGTTATGCTCAAAACCCATCAATGGTATCAGAGCCTAGGTCGTTTTTCTATTGAATAAATGCAAAAGTGAACTGCCAAAAGACCAAGAAATCGAAAATCAGGCTATCTGACTGCTGAACTCGACGAGTCCATGTATGGACTCGACGAGTCGTCTGATCTGCTGCCGGATTTTTCGATTTTTTCGGCCTGATTTTGATTTGGATAATTACCATAACTCGTTTCTAATGCCTAAATTCGATTTTTATGATTGGTATGAGATATCCTTATCAAAATTGATGGATTTAGTTAAATATGGATAATATAAGATTATTATGATTCAAATATTTAACCTAGTAATTTTGAAAAAGTTTTAAATTACACCCTTTTGGTTTTATTGTTTAAATTTGAAACTAAAAGTTTTAGTTTTTGAAAAATTTAATAGTTAAACCATACTATTTTGAAAAGTTTCAAAATTTGCCCTCAAGTTTTTGGAATTTAAAATTTGATTAAAAGGTTTTAATTTTGAAATATTAAATTCTAAAACCCTAGTGTTTTGAAAAAGTTCAAATTACACCCTTATGGATTTTATTAAATTAATTAAGTGTTCAATTAAAAGAGAGAATTAATAAATCCATAATAATATGGTTTAAGTTTAATCAAATTAAAAGTCTAATTTATTAATAGATTAAACCACTTAGTATTTTAAATGTATAAAATACACCCTTATACTATATAAAATTAAAATTCTAATATATTATATATGTATAAGTAAAAAGTCAGTCTTACCGTTAGTAGATCTCATTGACGAAGTTGGTCTATAAGGGGTGTTTAAGGAAGCGGCATGTAAAATGACCTCCATTGGGTATCCACTCTTACCCACTGTACCTTTGACCCTGTGGAGGGTCGTTAGCCGAACGGGTAGGATAGGACACAAACTTCCATTATAAGTATAATGAAATATGAAGTAACTAAACACTTTTATAAATTCCCAAATCTTGGTTACTTTAGGAAAAATGTGAATTTGGTGCTAATCCATGAGATTGCACATTGCACCTTATTGGTCGTTAGTGGAGCGTGTGTGGTTAACCGACACGCTAATATGGGACTAATAGAGGATAACAATGGGTAGCTCGTAGAGTATCATAGATCAATGGAGCGTGTGTGACTAACCGACACATTGATTAGGTGATAGATGTCTTCGAGAGTACCAAGCTAATTTGCATGGTTATTCACACATTGTTTG